TTAGTTCGTGAAATGGTTGACATGAGTGTTACTGCCTTGCGAGGCTTTGGAATGTACAGTGCCAACGAGTGTAAGGCTCTTTTGCAGCAGTTTTTGTGATAATGAGACACTTGTAAAAAAGTTATCAGTTGTCACGTTTCTGCCGGTGCCAAACAGTTGACTAGTCAGGTCGAGTGTGACCCTTTTACCTTGTTCTCGCTCAGGAGCATTGCCAACCTTGCCACAGTACACCTGTAAATTTGAGCAATAGAAGTTGTCCGAATCGCAACACATCGAAATTTTAAGGCCATGTTTCCCTGGCTTTGATGGGATGTAAACCTTAAAACCACATCTTCCTCTGAACGTACACAGATGTTCATCAACAGTGACATTTAGTCCTGGAGCATACGCAGAACGACATGACCCAGCAAAAAGTTCCATGACCTCCCTGAATGCTGATAGTTTATCCTTGCTACTCTGTTCTGTCTTGTTGTTAACATCGTCAAATCAACAGCATCGATATAGAAGCAGAAATCTGTTGCGAGCCATTGTTGCCACAAATACTGGACGTGCAAACAATCCTTCACTTGTCCACAATACTCAAATGTTTTCGCTTGCTTTTGAAAACGCCTGCCAGGAGTAGTAATCCGCAGAACGCTTGCATCTCAACTGTGTCAGTTGGCACCCATTCAAGGCGATTAGTTTCCTCTCTATTTTGTTTTTTTTCGGCAAACAGTCTGCTACCATAATTATTAGGCTTTTTTTCGCCAGACTGTGCTGTCGGATGCAGTGAATTGCTCTGCTTCCAAGTCTGTATCTGACAGCATACCAACATCTTCATCGACATCGTCACTGCCTGATTCACTGGCTACATCCTGCTGTTCTGGCTCGTTTTGTGAATTATCATCACTATCAACACTTTCAACGTCAACTGCATCGTCAACATCATCTTCAGTTTCTGATTCAGATCTTTAAATTAATTAAATAACTTCTTGAACATTACGATATATGCGTTTTGCCATTGCACTTATAAGTTTATAACTGTGATATCTAAATCTAAAACAGAACAAATATGGTGATTAATATATAGCAAATAGCAGTTAAAATGGATAAAATAATAAATAATATATAACAATATACTAATAGAAAGCGATAAACAAATGTAGCCTATGTAATTTAATTAAAAATCATTGGGGTCAGCTTTGACCCCTTTTGGGCACTCTTGCAAAATGCCTATTTAGGGCGTTTGAAGGTTAATAGATTAAATTATTTCTTATATATTACGTATATAATGTTATTTAAATGGCGTCCAAAGGTGTGCGGAGTTTTGGAACTAAAAAAAACTACAATTAATGTTGTTGGCAAATTCAAAAGAAAAGTTACTAAAATTTTGTATTGTACGAAAAATATTAAAAGCCAAACCTCAACAGAATTGCGTGTTATTTATACAAATTAGAATTCTTTACATTTTAAGTTTCTAGGCTGCAATGTAGGTGAAAATTAATCTACATTATATGCCGCAAATGACTAGCAAAACGATTTATAATTCTTTTTAGCCTCTGACATATATATATATATATATATATATATATATATATATATATATATATATATATATATATATATATATATATATATATATATATATATATATATATATATATATATTAGGGTGGTGCTAAAAACAACTTTTTTGAGAAAAACCTGCTGGTACCCCCTAAATGTGTTTTATCTAATACAAAAACACTAGGTTTAAAATTTTTTTGAACAAAAATTATTTTTAGGGGTAGCTCAAGGCCCTCAAAAATTTGACGGGTCCCTAATATTTTGAAAAAAAAACTTTTTCTAAAGTATGTCAACCTGGTACTCAAAAGAAGCGATATTATATAAAAACTTCAAAAATAATAATCATTTTACATAAAAAACATGCCTAAAAAAAATTATTCTCAAAAAACCTGAAAATATTGACTTTTTTTATTTTCAGCTTAAAAACAATAGTTTTTATGCATTTATACCTGAAAAAATTATTTTTATAAAAAATTATTTTCATTTTTAAATTTTTTATATAGTTTTGCTTATTTTGAGTACCAGGTTGACATACTTTTGAAAAAGTTTTTTTTTCAAAATATTAGGGACCCGTCAAATTTTTGAGGGCCTTGAGCTACCCCTAAAAATATTTTTTGTTCAAAAAAATTTTAAACCTAGTGTTTTTGTATTAGATAAAACACATTTAGGGGGGTACCAGCAGGTTTTTCTCAAAAAAGTTGTTTTAAGCACCACCCTAATATATATATATATATATATATATATATATATATATATATATATATATATATATATATATATATATATATATATATATATATATATATATATATATTATACGCACTCAAATTTTTTATAGTTGCCGAATTAGGTTGAAGAAAAGTATTCTAGAATCAAAAAACTTTATTTATTTATATATATACATAATAAATTAACGCTAAATTAAAAAAAAATTTTGAATAAAAAAATATTTTAGGGGTCGTTTCACACCCTTCATCACATTCACATCAAACGGGTCCCTAACATTTTGAAAAAAAAAGTTTTTTAAAAGTATATCGTGTTGGTTCTCAAAAAAACTGATATTTTCTGAAAGTTTCAAAAATAATTTAAAAAATTTACATATTATTTTTTGTTTTTTCTAAAATTTCACTTTTTTTGAGACCCCATTTAATATACTTTTGATGAACTTTTTTTTTTTAAAATATTAGATCTTCGTTTGATGTTTAAGGGAGTTGAGCGACCCCTCAAATATTTTTTTATCCAAAAAATTTTTTAATTCAGTGTTAATTTATTACATAGAACACAATGTGATTATTTAATTTAGTGTTAATTTATTACATAGAACAAAATATTAGGGGGTGGCAGCAGACAATTTCAAAAAAAGTTGTTTTTAGTGGCACTATAATATGTGTATGTATATACATGTGTGTGTGTATATATATATATACATATATATATATATATATATATATATATATATATATATATATATATATATATATATATATATATATATATATATATATATATATATATATATATATATATATACATTTATAAATATATATATTAGAGGTATGACTTAATAAAACATTTCATTTTTTCAAAAATGGCATAGCGGCAAAAGACGAACTTTTACTTGTATTAACTTAAAATAGTAATACTTTTTTCCAAATGGAAAAAAAACTGCCCCACCAGTGCAGATGAAAATTTGGCCCAAGCTGTCTAAAAATGCAAAAAATTGAACTTTTTGCGTTTATGGTTGGGGCAGGGTCACCTAACAAAGTTTCTCCACATACTTTTGTTCTTAAAGCCACAATAAGTTCCAGTTTGATAAACTGGTTTTCATCCATTCTGTCTAAAGTAATTTAATTTTTAACAAATCAAACAAAAATCTGTTTTCAGGTACAATAAATCTTTAACTGTTATATAACTTGCAGACTTTTCTGTTTGAGCTAATTCAAGAGCTAGTTTATGTAATTACTTTACAGATAATGAATAAAAATAGGAACAATATACTTTTAAATTTTCAAAAAGGCTGGAGATACTGCCTCCATTATTATCTACATTTTTGCAAGTATCTAAACATTTTGTAAAATAATAGATATGTAGCTTTTTTCATTGTAATTGAAAATTAACACAAAGGTTAACCACTGTAATACAGTTTTCTTAATAACCAAGTGTTACTGGTTATGTATTATGTGTAATGTGTTATATATTCCAGCCGGCCACAAGCTACATAAAATATTCAACTAAAGTTCTACTAAGATCAGCTACAGTTGCATGCCTAACTTATAATATATCATAAATTTGCATTTATGATATATTATAAGTTTTTGAACAACAAATAAAAACCAACCAATATAATTTTGTAGATAAAGCATTTTGCCCTTCAAATAATCAATGTCATTCTAACAATATTGTCTACCAAGCAACCGTAAGATCCAGTCATCATGATCGTAATAAAAAAGTGTACTTTGGCAAAAGTAACACACTGTTTAAGTTAAGATACGCAAACTGTCTCAAATCATTTGCATCACTAAAGTATTGAAATGACACAGCTATCCAAGGAAATATGGAGCTTAAAGATCAAAATAGAAAGCCTATTATAGAATGGAAAGTTGTCAAACGCTGCACACCTTACAATCTAGCAACAAAAATATGCTACCTTTGTCTCTACGAAAAATATGTTATTTTTTCGCATAGTGTAAAAAACCTACGAAATAAAAAAAACAAAATCGTATCTCAGTGTTGACATGCAAAAAAACTCTTATTATCTTTATTTGACACAGGAGACTAGTAAACTTTAACAACTTTTTTTTTTTTTTTTTTTTGATTTAATTAAGTTAAAACATCTGATTGATGTTTAATGATCTGCCTGGTAAGATAAACAACGTTTGTAAAATATATGCTGATGACACAAAGATACTTGGACCAAATGAAAGCAAAAAGGACTGTAAACGACTGCAGAGTGATATTAATTAGGATCGAATTAGAGAACAAATTGCTTATATAGCGAGCGATCTACCACTGCATCACTACAGCAACTAGGAAATTACAGTCTGCAAACTTACCAAATTACGAAATAATTTTATATTAGCTATTAGTAAACAAGTATTCAAACAAATATAATTTTAACATAATTAAGTAATTTGTCAATGTCAACTAAAGAAAATAGATCTAAGAAAATCTAATCAAGAAATTAATTGATTAGTATTTTAAAAAATACATGGAAGGATGTGCTATGATTATATATGGAAAGAAAGAATACAAAAGGAGACATTCTTATCAAAGATACTACTTCCTCTTTTCTATAACACCATTGTAACATAAATTATACTTTCATAATAGCAAATACTAACTAACTATTGATTAAAAAAAATGTTTTTATAAAAATTACAAAAATCGTTACTGACGTTTGACAAGCATGCATGCAATATCTTACATTAACATCCCTTTTAACTCGATCAAGTATTTGATTTATTCCATATAATATAGTTTTGTTCCATTTTGTTATAAACAAATGTTATAAATTGCATTTATATGTTTGTCAATTTAAATTTACTTTACAATATTAAAATGGTTTGAACAAACTTTAAATTCTTGTAAACTAATTTAATCCAGAAAGATTAAATTTTTTTTTATTATTGAAGAAACTAAACCAGTTTGAAAAATAAGTCGACTTAAATGTTTGTATGTTTTTCTATTTAGATGATGACAATAATATTGAAGCAAGTAAGTTAAAAAGCATTTTTAAAATTTTAAAAAGAAATAAAAATACTTTTCAATATATATCTGTTTTCTTAGAGGTAGATTTAAAGTTTCAGGTTTTTAAAATCATATATATTATAAGATTTAGAAATGAGTCGACTTAAATGTTTGTTTGTTTTTCTATT